TTTGACCTTTATCCTACGCTATACAAATGCAAGCTGCATTTATACCATTCTGTTGCCTTCCCTCCTTTTCCCTTGACTTTGCTCACTTACTGTTATACAACCTGGCCTTTTTTCACAACTTAAATTGCAGATTAGTGAGAGACACAGAGGTCTGGTTTTATTTGGATCTCACCTGATCAGAACGTAATTTTATCATCACCTCTCTGTTTATATTACAACTCAACCCCAACCCAACCACAAGCCTTAATATCAAATCACAGTCCCTCCCTCGACACATGTTCTGGCAAATAACCTGTGCCAGGAGCTGAACCAGAGCTCAATCGCACACCAGATCTATCCAGCTTCACCCAGATCCCATTACATTACCCAGAGACACAACTGACAGAGAATGACCCTGTAGTGTGCAGAGTGTAGGCTTGGTCTGAATCAAAACCTCTCAATCTAGAGTGAAACTGATCCAAGGGGAAAAAAAGACTTTAACACAACGGCATGCACAAAAAAAATATTTAAAAGAATTTCAGAAAGGAAGAGGTGGAAACAAACAAGAGTTAAAAGACGAGGAACAACTTGAAAGTTATAAAACATCGTTAATGTTGGCTGGACATCTCCAATCTAGTAAGGAGTACAGAATATGGAACCCTAGGCACTTACAGCACAGAGGAAGGCCATTAACCCCATTGTGTTCCATGCTGTGCTCTTTTGAAAGAGCGATCCATTTCAGTCCCATTTCCCTGTCCTTTTCCCCACATAACCCTGCAGATTCCAGAGATTAGCGAGGAATAAAAAGAGAATTCATTGGTGTTGACCAAAGGCATCTGTGGTAGTAATGAACACCACTGAGTGTGTGAACTCTTCAGCACCTTGTTCCAGTACATACTGAACTTTCAAAGAACCACAGAATATCCCCCATTTCTGCATGCGTACAAGATGCAATGCAGCTCACATTTAGACAGCACCATTCACATCGGGAGGAAACCTGAAAGCGCTTTACACAGTGCTAGACACCCACCCTCGTGCAAATTGAACAACGACAACAAGTTGCACTAATACAGCGCCCTTCAAGCCGGACAGCACCTCGGAGCGTTTAAAGAGGGGAAGAGGCAAAGAGACTTGAGGTGGGCTTTCAAAGTGGAACCAAAATTCTTAAATTTCCTCAAAAAAAACTTTGGGGACTGGTTTTCCACTGTTCTATATGGTCTTAAATTTTAAGACACGGGTCTGAAGGCTAAGAAACTTCTCAGCTCGTGTGTGTATGAAATGGACAGCCTGTCGCAGGCATTGTATCTTCCAGTTTGTGGCTGCAGGAATCAGCCTCAGACGTTGGCTGGCAGCAAGCTGGTCGTGTATCTCATCCTTCACAGCACCAGCCAACCTTGTGAGTCACTCGCCAATATCCCGTCAGACGGAATAAATCCAGGTCATTCACGCTCGACTGATCGCTGGGACCCTGTTGTGCATTACAACAACAATAATCTTTTCATAGGATACAGCGCCTTATCACGCTCATTTTTTTATGGGATACACTGTAAAGTAAAGTGGCTGTGGATTTTGTAGGCGAACGTGGCATCCAATTTGCGCACGGCAATATCCCAAAGAGCAATGAAGTGAATGGTCAATTTTAGTTGGGTGATTGTCGGCCAGGACTGCAGGAAAGAGACCCTAACTCCCTTCTCTTTTTGAATTGCGCCATGGGATCTTTAACATCCAATTGAACAGGCAGATGGGACCTTAGGTTAGCATCTCACCTGCAGGATGGCATCTCCGACAATCCAACGCTCCTCCCCCTGAGCAATGCACTAGAGCGTCAGCCTACACTATGAGCTCAAGATAGAGCTATGCACAAATGGGCTGCCGCGTTCGCCTACAAAAATGCACGGTCACTACACTTTACACTAAATCCTGTGAAGTTTTTTGAGGCATGAAAGGCGCTATATCAAATGCAAGGAATATTGTTGCATACACACAATACAAGTTTACGTTGATGTTTACTTTTCATGTCAGACGGATGTCGCAAAGCGCTTAACAGTTCTGGGCAGTACTGCTGGAAAACTGTGGGTGCACAAACATCAGGGAGAGATAGGGCCAATCTCCGCCACACAACACTTCCCTCAAGGTCAACACCTGTAGGTCAAGTCCTGTAACTCAGTGGTTAGAGCACTCGCTTTGCAAGTGAGAGACCTGAGTTCAATTCCCGGCAGGTCAGGGCGAAACCTTGGGCAAGTTTCCTTACTCCTCACGCCTAATAATAATCCCTCAAAAACAAAAAAACAATAAATTGGTCATTTTCAATCTACGACTGTTTGTGGGACATTGCTGTGCGCAATTGGCTGCCGCGTTCGCCCACAAATATACAGTCAATTCACTTTACAGTGTGTTCTGTGAAGCGCTTTGGGACGTCCTCCCGACGTGAAAAGCGCTATACCAAATGCAAGGATTATTATTATTATTAACACTAACTCTCGCAAGTGGGGGTTGAGAGGAAGGAAGATAAAGTAAATTTAATACATACAACAATAAATATCCACCACTAAACACAGGAACTGACTCATCTGATCACTCAAGCTAATTGCAATTACTTGTGCACAAAGATTAAACAGCGACTTCCAAGTGAAGGAACTTCCAGTTTATTCCAATGACAAAACAAACTATTGTGTTAAGTTCTACTCGTATCCGATTGATGAGGATGTACGATATTACTTTAAGGCAGAAAAAGTTGCCTAATTTGCTTTGGAATTGTAGAACATAATAACCCTTGAATTTCATATAGTTCAAGTCAGTAGAACCACAAAAATCAGAGCATTATTAATTCTTAGGTGCATTATAAGCTTGGTATTTGGTGTAGCACCTTGGGTGAATTGTCTCAAAACTGTATTCAATGTAAAATGTAGCATTCTGACCATTTAAAAAGCCGAATGACTGCAACAAAGCTGGCCAGCAAAGCTTTTAAACTCGTCAAAATTTACCAATTGAAATCTAAGTGTGTGTGTGTGTGTGTGGAGGGTGGGGTGGTGGTAGGAGAGAGAAGAGTTGAGGCTGAGAATTAAGAGTTGTAGAGAAATATGTAGCCAGTGCCCTTCCCCCACCCTAAAAATTCCACAGGAAGAATTCCTGGCTGATAAGACCTTTATCCTTCCATTACAGCAGGGCACAGCTTAGGCAAACAACCAAAAGCTCAGTCACATGGGGAGAGAGAGACAGGGAGGGGAAGGCAATAAATGGGCAGGAGGCTGGACTTCAGATCCAGGGAGGCCAGTCACAAGGTAAACTCTCCTTGGCTTACAGGTGTTCCTAAACACAACCTCTGCAAACTGTCAGTAACGTTTCAGAGAAACTGCCCCTTGAGTCCCCACGACTGGAGCGCAGTTGCGATCCTACATCTTGGCAAGGCGGCTTTAACCCTTTCAGATCCACCATACTTTGCCACTCCAATGAACAAGAACAAGCACAACAAAATTACATTTGTAAAGCATCTTTCAAGTTGGGAGGGCTTCCCAAGTCAGGGATCAGGACCCAAGCGTGTGGCGGACGGGGAGCAGGATGCAGATGAGTTAGCGCAGAGAGGTAGGAGGGTGGCTGGAGAGAACCCCTCTGTTTATCATGAAACATTTAAAACAAATCACAGAAATGATGGTGGGGGATGTGGGGGACGGTTGGTAATAGGAAATCACCAGCAACTTATATTAAATTATTCTGGCATTTACTTGACAGCTATCGTAAATCGTCATGTGTTTAACCCTTTGTTCTCCTTGGGGAATGTCCTGACTGGACCTGACAGCTGAATTAAGTCTCTCTTTTTCTCTCTCTCTGCCTCATATTTTATTACTGTAGGTTGTTATTCTTAGTGTTTATTTGTAATGCAACAAGAACGACATGCTATAAAAAATAAAGTTTAATATAAATATTATAAAAAATCAAGATGCTAGGTGTGATACAACTTAAAAGACAAGAGATTTCTTAGAACGTCACAAAATTATCCCTGTCTCAATAATAATAGTCCTTGCATTTGATACAGCGCCTTATCACGTCTTCAAGACATCTCAAAGCACTTTGCAGAATATACTGTGAAGTGAATCGACTGTAAGATTTTGTGAGTGAAACATTCGCTATGAGTTAAAGCCCAAACTTAAGGCATGATCCCCACACACAAAACAAGAATAATTTGGTCACTTAATCCATGACTGTTTGTGGGACACTGCTGTGCGCTATTGGGTGCAATGTTTCGCCCACAAAAAATATCAAGTATATTCTGTGAAGCGCTTTGAGACGTCTCGAAGACGTGGTAAGGCGCTGTAGCAAATGCAAGGTTTATTACTATTATTATGACAGAACTAACAATCGCAAAAAACATCCTTCTAAGAGAGAGCGAGAAGAGGTATATTCACTCTTTTGCAGTGGCAGACAGAGCGACATTGAGTGCTGTTCAGTCCCCAGCACTGCTACACTCGCTGCACCGCTTACAATATAATCAACTGAAAGCACAATGCCCACTTCCACATACAGTTGTCGCCCATATAAAAAGGGCTTCATTTAAACTTTGCAAAACTCACCAGTTACATAGCTTTTTTTTTGCCTCATCACCTGTTCTCTGTGCAACATCAGCTACTGTACAACCCTCTCTCACTCACGTCTCACACACTCTCTCTCTCTCACTCAGTCTCACACACTCACTCTCTCTCTCTCAGTCTCACAGTCTCTCTCTGTCTCAAACTCTCTCTCACTCAGTCTCACACTCTCTCTCACTCAGTCTCACACTCTCTCTCTCTCACTCAGTCTCTCTCTCACTCACACTCTCTCTCTCTCTCACTCAGTCTCACACTCTCACTCAGTCTCTCTCTTTCTCTCTCACTCAGTCTCTCTCTCTCTCTCTCAGTCTCTCTCTCTCACTCAGTCTCACACTCCTCTCTCTCTCACACAGAGTCTGAAACACACGCACTCATCGTCACTCTCTCTTCTCACACAGTCCCCCCAGCAATAAAGCTCCGTGTGCCCAGTGCACTCACAGGTGGCGGTCTTGCCCCTTCAGCTGCCGGTGTAAAGCCACCGAGTATCCGAAGTAGCTGTCGGGCGGTCCCCGCTTCAGGACCGGGAACCTGGTGTCGATGTTGAAGGCGGAGGCGATGCTCAGGGCCGCTAACAGCTGAAGCTGCACTCGCAACTCTCCGGCAGCAGCACACAGCGCCATGTCCACCTCCCCGGGGCTGTGTGGGCTTCACAGTGAGCAGAACCCTCCACATTCCTCCTCCTCCCTCCCTCCTCCCCCCACAAACACCACACCCACTCACAACACTCGACACCTCCCCATCCTCCCCCCTCCCAAAAACTTGCACACCTTTCTGCCTTACTCTCTACTGGACACATCTCTCACTCACTCACTCCCTCACTTACTGGGATTATTATTATTACTTAAAGCGGCCACTCCTGTCGGTATCCTTGAATATCAGCCTCCTTTGGGAAACCAGTGCTAAGTCGCCTCTTCGACTCCGTCCATCCGCCCACCCGGCCTGACTGCTCAATTTGTGGACATCGCCAGTCCCTGAAGCCGGATAATAATGATAATAATTAATAATAATAATAATCCTGCATTTGATTTAGCGCCTTATCACGTCTTCGAGACATCTCGAAGCGCTTCACAGGATATATTGTAAAGCAAATTGTTTTGTGGACGAAACGCAGGAGCCAATTGCGCACAGCAGTCTCCCACAAAGAATCGTGGATCGAAGTGACCAAATTATTATCAGGCGAAAGTCATAATGGTGAATCGACAGTTATGCCTTCTGCGATGAGCAAAGGTTCCCCGCAAACAGCCTCTTAGTAATAATAATAATAATCCTTGCATTTGATATAGCGCTTTTCATGTCAGGAGGACGTCCCAAAGCGCTTCACAGAACACACTGTAAAGTGAATTGACTGTATATTTGTGGGCAAACGCGGCAGCCAATTGCGCACAGCAATGTCCCACAAACAGTCGTAGATTGAAAATGACCAATTTTTATTATTGTTTTTGGTTTCTGGAGGGATTATTATTAGGCTCTGTGTGGAGTAAGGAAACTTGCCCAAGGTTTCGCCCTCTGCCTGGAATTGAACTCAGGTCTCTCGCTTGCAAAGCGAGTGCTCTAACCACTGAGCTACAGGAATCCAATATTATGCCCACAAAATACAGTCAATTAACTTTACAGTGTATCTTGCAAAGCGCATTGAGACGTCTCAGAGACGTGATAAGGCACTGTATCAAATGCAAGGATTATTATTATTAATATTTGGAAGAGTGCACTCACAGTCAGACTGATGCCCTCGTGCAGTGCTGGAGGGGGAGCAGGTGCATTGTCAGGGGTGCCGTCCTTTGGATGAGATATTCCACCCTCCTGTCCAGGTGGACGTTAAAGATCCTGTGGCACTACTCAAAAAGAGAAGGGAGTTTCTCTCTCCTGATGTCCTGGCAAACAATCCCGCCAGATAAAATCAGGCACTCACTTCACTGCTGTTCACGAACCATTGTTTGTTTACCAACAACAAAACACACAACAACAAATTACATTTGTGTACTGCCCGTCCCAAGGCACTGGACAGTCAGGGATTTGGACACAGTCATTTCATTTCACTTTGAGACATCCTCCTAACGTGAAAAGTAGGCGCTGCTTCAAACGCAAGGATTATTTTTTAATCATCGCCTCCATCAACAGCTTCTAGCAAATTTAGCAATAATTGAAGAATAAGCCATTTCCTTTGCTTTCTCTCGCTCACCCTTTTTGAGGCATGTCTCAAGATGTAGCTTTCTTTCAGCTCCCCCCTTCCCCAACCCCAGTTCGGACCCCAGCCTACAGCGTCCAACGCTTTGGGTGACCTCCCGACGTGAAAGCAACTGTACCTTACAAACGTAAATTTGTACTGCATTAAAATTATAATTGTAAGAACGTTGCTGGAGTATTGACGGTTTGCCATGAGGTGTCAGGAACACAATAAATGTCAGGGAGATTGAATGGAGGCATTATCCCAGATGCACAATAGCAACGTGGCTCATTGCCAGACCTGGAAATAGGTGCAGGTCACAAACCAGCGACAGAAAACAAAATCAATATGTTAACAGCCCTTCAGAAATAAACAGTACAGATGATGACCCCCAAACTGCCATGCAGACACTGCTTATTTGACAAGCCAATTGATCACAGAGCATCACAGATCTCGTTTGTCACCTAAATGCCCCCCCGCCCCCCACACACACGGTAGGGAATGAACAGGAGCAGAAAGCTCAATCCTTCATTAGACATGGCGGCAANTTTTTTTCGGTCAACCAGGTGTCTGACACATGCGGAAATCCATCACCCACGTTTAAGATTATCCAAACTAAACTGAGAATTCCATGCATCCCACCTACGCATGGAAATTCCAGAAATAGATTGTTGGAATGGAATGCGCCCTCTCTCTTTCTCCCTGGAGAAATGCATCTTGCTTACTTAGTTCTGGAAACTATTAGGCACAGGTTGGCAAGAACCAAGGCTTGGGGAGACCCCAGAGTGTGCATTGGGGTAACTACTGGAGTCTAACTGGCTAAAACCACTGATATCTCATCTGCTCCTCCTGAAAAAGCATCACTCAAAAGTGACAATTAAGAACGATTCTTTATTGCCTGGATAGGAAGCAAAGTCAAAGGTGGTTACTTTACAACAGGAATGACGGAAAAGTGAGTCAATGCAAATCCAAACTTCCATTATTTATGCAAATATAAATAAATCAAATCGCTAGTTCGGAAATTTGAATGAATATAACTTGCAATTATGGCAGCATTTCCATAAAACACTTCAAAGCCCTTTAATATATATCTGACAGTATTATCGATGCTCATTGACAAGTTCAGAAGACTGGCCATTTAATCTCATTCTTCCAGAACACCGACATAACAGTCTTCTCATTGCAGCATCAACCCATTACTTGATTGGGTCCAGTGTCCTGGCCTTTTTCAGGCTCTTGTGCAGAGGAGAGTAACAAAGATGATCCCCAGTGTTAGAGGAATGAGCAACAATTTGATAAGCTAGGACTCTTCAGCCTTGAAAGGAGATGTCCCTAAGCAGGGACCTTATAAAGGTGTATAAAGCTTTAAATGCAATTGAAAAAGTAAACCTACATCAAGTTCGAGACAGCAGAAAAAGAGGACACAGGTTGGAGTTGCACAGGGCAATTTCCAGACAGACACCAGGTAGCACTTCTTTACACAGAGGATAATTAACAGTTAGAAGAGGGTTGGCAGGAAGGGTGGTTAAGGCCAGGATGCTGGGACTCATTTAAAAGAGCAGCTGGATGCTGTGATCGGGACAGGAGGGCAGGTTTTCTGCAGGGATGAGAGAAGATAATAAATAAAATTATTTGGTCATTCAATCCACCTCTGTTTGTGGTTCACTGCTGAGCGCAGTTGGCAGCTGTGTTTTGTCCACAAAATATACAGTCAATTCACTTTACAGTATATTATGATAATAATCCTTGCATTTGATATAGCGCCTTATCATGTCCTTGAGACGTCTCAACAGAATATACTGTGAAGTGAATTGACTGTACATTTTGTGAGTGAAACTACAGCAGCCAATTGCGCACAGCAGCGTCCCACAAACACTCATAGATTTGTTTTGAAAGGATTATTACCCTTGGAAAAGTGATCCGCCAATTGACTAACAACCGGGTTCCTACTTACTGCTAGATAAACATAGTCGTTTGGACTCAGGAAATTTGCCCGGCTTCACTCTGCCTGAGAACCAAGCCCAGGTCTCACTTGCGAAGCAAGTGCTCTAACCACTGAGCCACAGGACTTCCTCAGCATTGACCGTGGGGCCTGTTTTGCTGCTGCCTTAAATTGAGTTTGTCTTTAAAGTAAAAGCTTCAACCATCATTGCATGACAATTCCATGGAGGTGCCGGAGCGTGAAAAGCATCAGTAATCTAGAGAATAGCATTCCATTCCAGCCCAATTTGATAAGTTTCTTGCGCTTTTAATCTACTGTTTGCCTCCTCACTTGTTTTCTTTGTCTGCGTCCAAGGGAACCCGAGTTTCCCCCACCTGTAAGTGAACGGGACTCCCGCCCCCACCCAGCCAAGATACCAGCTCCTTCACGATGAAGGTCACAGTTGCCCGCCGATACAAACAGGCTGAAACAAACAAGTGCTGACAGAACAGTTTCCCATCAATTCCCTTTAAGCTCTTCCGAGTGTTTTAAGGTCAAACGCACTGAGGCATGCAGACCATGATGGGTGTGAGAGAGATACAACATGCACCAGAAGAATCTGGAGTATGGATGTGAGAGGTCAGTGTGGCTCAGCTGGTAGCAGTTTCTCTGTCAGTTTTCTATCTCAGAGTGACAATGTTACTTGCATCACCTTCCACATAGGGAAGACGTCTCAAAGCTCTTCATGGGATAAACTGTAATAATAATAATCTTTGCATTTGATAAACAGCAACAACTTGCACTTATATATCACCCTCCACGCAGGGTAGCGTCTCAGAGCGCTTAACAGTGGAGGAGCCTGACTCCGAGTTGGTGCTGGAGTGGGGGGAGGTGACCGTAAGCACGGTCGAAGAGGAAGATATAGTGCCTTATCACATCTGCGAGACATCTCAAAGCGAATTAACCGTACATTTTGTGGGCAAACTGGCAGCCAATTGTGCACAGCGGTGTCCCACAAACAGTCGTGGATTGAGTGACCAAATTATTATTATTTTTTGGGGAAGGAATTATTACCCCTAGAAAAGTGTAGTTGCTGTGTAGTTTGGAGGCAAATGCAGCTTTCAATTTGTTCATGGCAATATCCCACAAACATCCATGAAACTAATTGGTCAGGAGTTGACCGGGAGAGAGAGATTCCTTTCTCTATTGTTGAATAGCGCCGCGGGATCTTTAATGTCCAATTAAACAGGCAGATGGAACCTCAGGTTAATGTCTCATCTGCAGGATGACACTTCCAACAGTACAGCTCTGGAGTGTCAGCCTAGACTATATAAGGTCAAAGTCCTGCTGTGGAGCTTAAAACCCACAACCTTCGGACTCCTAGTTGAGAGTGCTCCTCAACGAGCTTTGCTGACACCATGACTGACACGTATGCATCCTGTTTAACACTTCAATACATGTAGATTGTGGTCACTGAAAATCTATTACGTCTTCGAGATGTCTCAAAGCTGTTCACAGAATATACTATAAAGTGAACTGACTGTATATTTTTGTGGGCAAAACGCGGCTGCCACTTGCGACGGCAACATCCCACAAACAGTCGTGTTGAAAGCTG